TGTACTTAATAGGCGCCCTTTCTAGCACCACTTTGGTGCGAAATTCGAAAGCCTATGGTTTTGGCCCTCAAGTGATCATGCAAATAAATAACAAGTGAAGGAATTTATGACCCTATCACAATGGTGTGACACATGGGAAATTTCAGAAACATTCATATCTTAGCGCGATCTTGCTTTTATGATTTGACAGGAAACAGGCGAGAACCTTACTTTCAAGAGAAATACGAAAATTGTCGAAATTATCAGTAATTTTATTTTATCTGATACCTTCTGACGCAATACGAATTCTTTAAATTAATTGTTTTTGCTGAAAGCGTTTCAAATAAAACAAAGTTAAGCGTCGATTATAACAGTATGTTGTAATATTTAGCATTTATCTTATTTATAAATAACTTTTCACTTAATTTGTTCTTTATATAGAACGATTATAACATGTTCTGATACTGCGACAGGCTTTTGACGCGTGCTGGCACTATAAGAAAGTATAATTTCTTGAAAATGATAATTTTTTTATATTCCTAACGCACAGAATAAAATTGTATTAAAGATATGCGGCAAAAAATGCTAAATATCAAAATGATTTTTATTTTCTTATTTTTGCCTGATAAAACTAATCTCGCTTTACTCTACATACATATATAAGAAAAGTAGATATCGAAAACTATAATTTTTCCATGGCGTAAAAAAATATCTTACCACAATTTACTTTAACTTATTTAAAAGATTTATTCTTCTTATAGGACGGTTACTGTCTAATAGTCGCTGAAAATCTTTACTGAGGCAATTTAGGGCTGATAAATGGAATATATGGTACTGCCCTTACCTATTTAATAAAAGGGCGAGAAATGGCCTTTAAGAAAATTAAATGCCCCAATAAAGGATTTAATAACTAGTCTTTTGAGTTCCCTTTACAAAGCCCTACTTAACGGTTAGTCATCTAAACCCCCTCATCAACATAATTTACCACCCACTTTGTCTAAGCCAAAGCCCAACAAAACTCCCTTTTGGCCACCGAAACACGAAAAAAGTTTAACGACAGATACAAAATTAAGTTGCAAACAAAAGGCCAAAAAGCCCATGTACTTGTCACCCCCATCTCCCCCGAAAAAATACCAGGATTGTTGTTGTTTGAACAGGGAAAAAGAGCAACCAGAAGGAAAAGCGAGGGGAAAAAGGTGGGGAAAGTCGAGGAAATCAGCCCGGCACACTTTGCCTTTTCAGCCGCAGGCTAAAAGTCGTCGTCGCTTTCAATTATAGCCGTGAGTTTTCTCTGTCCGGCCAACATACACATACAAACGTATACAGTTGGCAGGAAGCCATAAACACACACCGATACGAACGGGGGGGCAGAAACATATGTATGGGTGGGCAACCTACACCCACACACAGCCATTAGCCTAATGTGTGCTTATTGCGCACGCTTTGGAACAGACGCAGGTTGATTTAAGGGGGGAAAAGCCCTCTGAGCTAACGAAACCCCTAAACCTGAAACCCCAAACCGAAAGCCCAAACCCCCTCGCCACCGAAAACCAAACCGAAATGGATGCTAAGGATATGGCAACCGCAACTTGCCACTTTGTCTGCCCGAGGGGGGTTTCAAATAAAGGTGAGGGGTGGAAATTCAGGGTGGGGGCTGTGGGTGGTGTCTGGGCCAACCGCAAACAAACAAACACACGGGCGCAACAGAGACAGAGACACAACCAGCAGCCAGAAAAAGAGAGCAACACAGCATCTGTATCTGGTTGTGTATCTGTATCTGCAGCTACAGCTGCATCTGTATCTGTTCCTGCCTCTGTATCCATATCTCCATTCCGGTATATAGATATATAGCAGTCTATATATAGTCGAGTGCATAATGAATGCGAAGATGTGCACGCCCTATTATCCTGACTCCTCCCTCAACTCGAGCTGGCTGTCTGTGTATCTCAAAGATACATAGCCGCATTCTGATAGGAAAAATCGAGGGGTAAATAAGGACCTATCTCTCTCTCTCTTTCTGTCTCTGTCTCTGTCCCTGTCTCCCTCTGTCTCGTTGGCCATCTCCCTCTGTTATCCTTTCTGTGGCCACTGGCACTAAGGATTCGAATCAGAATCACCAAGTTTCAGATAATAATAATGACTGCGAACTGACACAGATTTCAAGGGGCGAGAAAGAGAGGTGTTCTCGCCGAGAAAGAGAGGCACAATCCCTGAGAGAGAGAGAGAGAGCGCAGGCTGGAGATACATATACGTACAGACGCACTGAAAGATACAGAGGCTGCTGGTCGCTCTCACTCTCTTGTTGCTCTGGGGTTATTCTGCTCTCCAGTTTCATCCCCTAGACCTTCCGCAGTTGGGAAGATAACATAGCCAGGACATCGGGGCGATCCTTTGCGAGATGATATGAGATTTTTTTTTAATGGGAGAAGAGAGGAGCGGAAACAACCACCATGGCGAATGGGCAGCCAACCAGCCGCCCGAAAAATTCCCATTCAAACCGAGAATCCGGCAATCCGAGATTCCGAGAATCCTCATCGCCTCCAGACAATTCAGTTCGTTTCTGAGCGTGCTGGCTGGCAATCGGAATCGGGAAAATCACACTCGCATTTTCGCTGTCGCCGTTTGCATTCTCAGTCGCCGTCGACGTCGACGTCGCTGCCACACAATTCAGTATTTGAGTTGTTCATATTTTTTTGCGCTATCGCCGCTTCTTTTGCTGGCTGGCAGCAGTCTTGCGAAGACAACCGGCAGATAGAGACGACACCCCATCAAATAAAAATTAAAGGAATATATCCGTTTAAATCGATTGACTCGGACTAACTTCAAAGCGACATCGAGCATACGCAGTGTTGGCCCACAGAAAATGTCGCATCGCGTGTTATGAAAATATTTACTAGCGATCTGTTTATTACGATAATTACAAGTAACGTTTGAAAGCGGAATCATGCTGTTCGATCGATATGTCATATCAGGTTGGTTCCACGCCGTGAATATAAACAAAAATCGGTATCTCGCGCTGTGACTTACACGGAATCGAAGTTCCCTGAACTGAATCAGTTGCATCGAAAACAGTTTACAATGGGCTTACCTTAAACAAAAGCCAAGTGAATCAATTTGAACAAATCAATTCGTTAGTTAATCGATTGTGTTCCAGCACTCAAGCTTCAATGAATGAATTGTCTTAAATCAAGTGCTTAAAATAATAAAAGGCAAAGACTTATCAGGCCTTTTTCTTATATTGTATTGGATTTTTTAAGTGAATAAACATTTTGGCACATGTAGATGCCAATTAAACCTAAACTTTCTTATTGTTGGATCTTCCTTTTAACAAAACTTTTGTCGACATTAAGTATAATATTTTAGAAAAACTTTCAATCTCTGTTTTACTCTTTTACTTTGGTCTTAAAAAATATTTTATTAAGAAATAAATTATCTGACAATTCCGTTTGTCTCAAAATTGGTTATGAAAACCTAGGAAAAAACCAGCGACTAATAGTGACTTAGTAATAGTATACAAAAGCCAAGTGCACTCCAAATTAGTTAAAAACATTCTCCCAAGAACTCTGTCTCTCGAACAACGAAAAAAAAACATATTTTAATCTAGTTTCCTCAGTAAACTTGGTCGCCAACTTTTAATGGCCAAACTAAAACCCAAGTAAGCTCTAAGTAAACCCATTAAAATCGATCCCCACTTATCAACCCCCATCCACAAGCACAGGCAATCAACCATTTATGGGCAGTTTTATCAGCAGGCCAGTCCCAAATGTGATTACCTAAAACAAATTAGCCGAAGGTCCCTCGAAAAACACTTGCGCTTGGGTAAAAGCGAAAACTAAAGAAAACCGGAGTGATTAACAATTGGGTTGTCAAATAGAAACCGAGGATAAACGCGGGATGAGTGCACTCGAGGGCGGTCTTTGAAGTGGCCTACTTCAAAAAGATTTCGCTAAATGGTGTGAAGCCGTCGGGGTTCGAGAACAAGATCGAGATCGGGATCGAAGTCCAAGGATACTGGGCAAATAGAGTGTGCCGCAGGATGTGCGAAATGCAGCAGGTTGAGAACTCTAAACGCAATATTTGTTTGACCATTGCGGCCCATTGTTTGCGCCTGCTTTGCGGTCTATTTATATGGCCGATACTTATCGGGCTCGGGGTTATGTTACTGTTACTGTTACTATACGTACTGCTGCTTTTCGTTATCTCTGGAAGCGCTGTCATATTTTGTCTAACAGCTCAAATTACGATTTAGTTTCAAGTGTTCGAACAAGGCGGATGGACAAGACAAGAAACCAAACAGCAAACAACAACTAGTAGTTGGTCAAATATCAATAATCGTCGGGTAATTTGTGCGTGTATACTTATGTTTCGAGCCCACTGATTAACTGTATCACAGAGAAATGGGTGATTTTTTCCATTTGACAACTAGGGAATGCACTTTTTTTAGTCACGACTGTGGTAACATCTAAAAATCGATTTATCCTTGCCTCAACTGTCAGTGAGTTGACTTCTTAACTGGCCTTAGTCTTGTCCCTCTATCTATTCAATCGGCAGAAGTCAGTCCAGTCACATCAATTGAAAGTGAACGCGCAAATCGAAGCTATTTAAGTCGGAAGTCTTGTGTCAACAAAATAGTTGAAATATTTCCCCGTTGATATTTATCCAGATTTTATTTGCTCAGCCTGCTCGGGCGAATCGGTAACGGATATGCCCTGTCTGCTGGAAGGGTAGCGACCACAGACACCTGTCTTGCCGGGAAGATAGTAGCCACACAGAGTGGGTGAGTGATAGGCGGTCCAAACTGTGTCCGAACTGTGCATTGCAAAATCACCCGGAGATACCTTTAAATGGAACCGGGCAACGATTGTCATCTCGCTTGAAGAGTCGGCTTTATCTATTTTATTTCGGGAGTGACTTGACTTGACTTGACAGCCAACAACTGATTAGGATTAGGGCTTCGAGTGCTTGCCAGCGGTCGGAAAAGTCATTTCTAATCGGTGTCTCTTCGATTCGATTGTTAACAGGCTCCAGCGGCGACGACTTCGATCCAAGTGCGAGTGCAGTGCGTCACCACCATCACCATCTCCATCACCTGGATCTGAGTGCCAGGAGCCAGGCCTTCAGCTCGCTGCCCGAGCCCATTGAGGATTCATTCGCCGCCCGCCATCGCTTGCCGCAGCAGGATCCCGTGGAGAGTTCGCCTACGAGGCGGGATCATCGGGACCTTCAGGATCAGGAGCTCCTGCATCATACCAATCATCTCCAGCAGCAGCAGCAGCTACAGAGACAACAGCCGCCGCCTCCGACGTTGCCGCTGTCCCTGGAATCGTCCTCCGCCGCCGCCGACGGCATGGAGGCCTTTTTCAAGGAACGCGCCCAGGCGACCCACATCCTGCAGGAGTGGGCGCGGAGGCGCGAACCCGTCTGTGATCTGGACATCCGCGAAAGCGGCGGTGTCTACGCCAAGACGCCGCTCCAGAGGGGCACCCGCTACGGACCCTTCCCCATGAAGCTCAGCCACCAGCCCAACGATCCGCAGCTGGCGTGGAAGGTGAGTCTGCTATTCTATTTCATTATTTATTCACAGGAAATTATTGAACTCTTTGAAAAAGAATATAAATTGTTCTCCATTGGTTTTTCTCCTAATAATATATTTATTCAATTTTAAAGGGGAAACACAAATCAAATAGAGAGATCTAGGAAACTTTAGCGTTGTAAAATTTATTCCCATTACTTGCATTTAATTTAAGAGAGCTTATTTTTGTCATTATTTTTTATCAAGTAATATTATCCTTTGCTTTTTTCCAAATGAATTTTAATGCTTTACCAGAATTCGGATAGAACTATCCTATTTCTACCCAAAATGTCGTTAGTTTCAACCACAATTGTTTTCCCAAACAATTAATCCGATGCCCGGCATCCCAAAACTTATATATCACAAATATATCAAAGGACCAAAAGGACCTTAAGCCTTTCACATGTGTGCCCATTTTGGCAATCTCAAATTTCCGTTTTTTCCGCTGGTCGGGAAATTTAATCCCATCAGAGCCGTACCAATTTTTATGTGCGAAAATTGCAACCGAATTGAGTCATCCCGATTTTTTTGGGTGGTTTTCGCAGGGAAAATCAAGCGATTGGAAAGAGATTTGATTAGAGCTCTACCTCGAGGGTATCGATTGTCAGTCAAATGTGCCTAATCCCTGGCCAGAGCTAATTTACCTTCGCCGGAGCGGAAAACCAGGAAGGCGACCAGGACGAAAATCCACAAAGTGCACCCCAAATGAGGCTTAAGTCGAGGCCGGCTGATGATTCCAATTAGGGAACGGGGATCGGATCGCAGGCTACTGAACCCTTCGATCGGTTGTCAGTCAGTCAGTCAACTGACACTTTTCCTCCCTCCATCCTCTTTCGTCCTTCGGGGACACAGACAATCCAATCAAATTATCGCGCCTCGTCCTGTTGACAATTCGCACAAGGAGATCGCTCCCGTTTACCTACACAACTTAGGTATTGCTACAAAAATATTGTTTCTGCCACTCGAGCGAAAATTGCAAAAATAACAGAGCTCGAATCCCTTCTGCCTTGGCCTTTTATTCCTGGATGATCCTCAAATCAAGCGCACTTTTATCGTTCACATTTCCGTTTTGACAGATACATTGGCCGTATCTGTCCCTATCTGCCACCGTTTTCCCCGGCTGATCCTCCTGGAGGATCTGGCCCTGGCTCTGGATCTGATCTGGCAATTCGAAGCCAGTTCTGCCAGCCGAGCGAACCCAACACTTTGAGATTATCTCTGGCGCGTAAATATTTTCCCTGCCCATTGACTGTTTCGTGTTTTGCTGCTGCTGCTGCTGCGAGCGGTGGCCTCCTTTTTAATAAAGTTATGAATAGGCAAGGACATGTGTGATGTCTGTCCGGGGATTACCGACGGACAAAACAAGCAACTGGAACTGTTTGCCAAACTGTCACGGCAATTTCTGGCCATGGATATTGGCATATATGTACTTACCCATGATCTTATCATTTTTTAGTGGCTGCATCGGATTGCAGTTTCCGTTGCCATCTTAAATAACCCAAAGCAGCAAGGAGGTGAGGGTTCTAAAAAGATTTCAATGATTCCATAGGAATTATCTTGAGATTTAGTGCCTTGATATAAACATGAAACCATGTGGGAACTTAAAAAATAGTGAAAGTAAAATACTTTTCAAATCATTATATTTTAAAAATGTTTGCTTAGTTTTCTTATTTTGAGTACTACTATGTGACAAGATAAGGGAGTGGCTAAAGTGAACGAAGCATTAAAACAGTTGCTAATCATCGAGCACAGAACATGTTTTTTGATAGCTTGTTTGAAAGTCATTAAGTGCGCAGATAAGATTTATCAAGCTAATAATTTTAGCCAATTAATAAGGGAAAAAACCGGGAAATTTGGTATTTTTAGTTTTATTATTTTGAACAGATAACTTTCAAAGTGCGATGTTTCATTTTTATTGCCTAAAAATCGTGTAAACACGAATAATATTTACCTCTATTCCGTATTTTTCGTAACGAATAGAGGGTACCTCTATGCTTTATGTTACCCCTTGTCTCCTAATTCTTCTAATTATTGTAATTGCGAAGTGCCCCGCGTTTCAAAAAATCTAAGCCCTTCCAATTACACATTTTTGCAACTATAACCGTATGAAAACACACACGGCAACCTACTTGTTTGGCAAGCCACTCGAGGAAAGCTCTCCCTCGTCCTGAAAACACAAAGTTTATTCCATTTATACGCGGGTATAATTTTGTATTTATTTTATTTTCGCTCTGCATATGCCGCGGGGCAGAAGAAGCCACTTGAGGCGTTGTTAACTTAATTTTTGGAGCGTGCACACATGGCTCTCTCTCTTTCTCTTTCTCTGTTCCTCCCCAGACTCTCCCACTCACACACCACTTAATCGCAAACTGTAAAATGCCGTTTTTCCAAATGACTTCATAGACAAGAGTTCGACGGCGGCGACTTGAACGTTGCGCATACGCAAAGTCATTCAGTCAACCGCAGTTTTGGATTTTTTTTTTTTTTTTTTTTGGTTTTTCAATTTTAATTTGTGGTTGCTGCTGCCTCCAACTTTCGGCGTCGCGAAGTCTAAGGCTGTTTTCCCCATTCCCAGCCGCAACTAGAAAAAAATCCACAGCCGCCGTTAACGATTTGTGTAAATTATGCGTATTTCAGCTTGGCGCCGCTGCTTTTATTTTGTATACAAAAACTGTCGGCGGTTTTTGTTTAGTTTTCTGTTTTATTTTTTGCTTGTATTTTCGTACTGTTGCTGCAGTTTCCCCTTACTGTTTGTGACCTTGATGTTGTGGGCAGACTTGTGGGCGGCGTCTTACTGGGCTCGCTTTTTATTAGAGTGCTTAAAGGACCTTATTAATTGGCACTTAATAAGAAAGAAATTTACTTAGATTACTTATTTGTTTTAATATTTAAAAATGTTACAAAAATACATTTACAACATTTCGGACACAGTTATTCACCAAAATAATATTAAGAACATTTTGCATGAATGTGTTGAAATAAATAGAACTAAAATTTATATATTTAGAAAAAAAAAACGAAGCCTAATATTAATTTTATCAAAGTATAAGAAAGGAATATTTTTTTTTAAATTTATTTTACACCTTAAATTTAATTATCTACCGGTATACATATGAATTTTACATACAATATAACACCTTTGAGGGTTCGTGCCTTCGCTTAGCCATGACAAACATGTAAAAATAGCACAGTTATCAGGGGTGAGCCAACGGATGGCGCCAGCGTTATCCTTAAAAACAGAATACAAATTTTAATTACTTGTCAAAATAAATCCATAAAACTAAAATAAAAAACAAATTTAAAATTAATTACCCTTATGCTTCGTTTGTAGGCTAATAGCAGGCATTATAATGGATGGCTAGAGCCCACAGATGATGTGTCCACATGGTTGAAAAAAATCCGAAGCGTTGAGGAGGACGATGGCATTGGCGAGGCTAATTTACAGAGTTACATTAATGGCGGTTATGTGAGTATATACCCCCTTACCCTCTTATGATAACCCCTGAGCACGTGCCACTCGATTTTTAACAATTTTTAACAATTATTTTCCCTTGTTTTTTTAATAGCTGTGGTACGAGACGAATCGTTATGTGAATGCTGGCAGTGAAATGGTCGTCGACGGGCGACCCAAAAGTCCCGTTCAACTGAACGAGAACTTCATGAACGGTGGCAAAGTCCTGGCGGCAGCAGCAGCAGCAGCCGCTGCAGTGGCAGCCGCCTCTTCCACGGGAGCGAAGAGCGGGGGAGGGGGGAGCTCCCTGCCCAGCGATGACCGAAGCGATCGTGATAATGGTAAGTGATTTTGTAACTTATTTATTTAGAATATATGTATATAGTTATGTAAATGTTATAAATATGAACAAGTAACAAATTTTAAAAATTAAAATTTAAAAATAAATTTAGCAACAGGCAATCCTAGTTTGATCACATTTAAAATTCAATCACCCCATAAAAATTGATCCCTTTTTAGATATACAATAAAATTGTTGATATTCTTATTAAATTTTTAGTTTACAAAATATATTTATCAAAAAGTATGGTCTTCTGTTGACATACATATGAAATATACCTTAACCTACAACATAATAATCAAGATAGTAATGCCTATCCTAATGCTTAGTTATCTGGGTCCCCTGACACAAAATTGTTCAATTCCATCTAGATTTGACATTGAAAAAGGAATATAATGTGTGCGTTGTATCCATGCTGGTGTGGCTAATAATAAGTGCAGCTGTGGTGCCAGGCAATTAACGCTCAACCACTGTGGGTCAGATCAAAATCGGGTGTACAGAATCTAGAATCCGGTGGCAATGCCCGTGACAGAGTTCCTGGCACGAGCGACGGTCCTGCGATACAATCTCGGGAACAGAACAGAACCAAAAAAGGAACAGGAACAGCTTATGAGGGCTCACAGAATCAGAATCGGAGGCAGACATCCCTTCTCTGATATTACTGAGCACCCTTTTTGCCTCCCCTAAATGCGATCAATTTGTGCGCTGCGCATGCGCCCATGCAATATTCCGGCAACCGCACATGTTTTCATTTGTTATTAAAATGTTTGATAATTTCATTAGAGATCCATCAGCAAACAAAGGGCCCGAGATTGTGTCAGCGATATACGGTGTATGGTATATGTTGCTGACAGTCAAAATGGCACACGCTCAATTTAAGCCTAATCCTGCATCCCTCGAATCCCTCGAATCGCCGAGAAACGGGAAGCCGGGGCGTGTTTGATTATAAACATGTGGGATTTATGGACAGCTCATTTGGCGTTTCACACTCTTTTTTTTCTGATTATCACAAATTTAAATCTCCACGAAAATATTTTCGTTGGCGAGTCGGCTTTGAATTTGAATACGTAATGAACATAATGGTTAATTCCATATGCTTATCTGCCGGATCATAGTTGCCTTACAATGGTATTGCATTTATTTTTCAGTTTTTCAATTAAAGCCAAGCTGTCAAAGTTCCCATTTCCAAGCTTGATATTCAACCCGCTTTCCATTTAAAAAAAGGACACCTGTGACTTGACTTTTTAACGTATTTTCTGGCAACTTTTCTCGCATTTTACGCACTGCTGAGCAGGGAAATTCCCTCTAGTCTCTGGCAGAAGCAGAAGACAAGGCCCAGATGTCCTGGCCCAAGGATATGCCAGCGAATGCCACCAGTGCAGCACGGGGGTGGCAACGCGATCAAGGTTCCGTCCCGGAGACCCGGAAAGGAAAAGGTGGCAAGGAGCGATCGAAAGTGTGGTTGAAACGGTAGCAAAAGATCGCTGGTTTTCCAGGAGAGGGAGTTCCAACTTTCGACCGTTACTTTTGCCGACGAATATTTAATGAGCGCTTGGGCTGGGAACTTAACGTTTTCAAGAATTTTCAGTAAGGAAAATGCAAATGTCGAGGGGTGAAATAAATAGCATGGGAAAGTTTTACAAGGTTTCACAAAATAATTAAAAATTTTAAATTTTTTAAAAATTATGAGAAACATATTTGTTTTCATTTTTTAAAACTAAGTTCAAATATCAAATTCAAACCGAATTCATATAGATTTTCACTATAATTTTGGATTTATAAATTTTGCTTGAAACTTCTTTCCCTACTTCGTAAAAAATCAAATAATTTGGTCTAATGAAGTCATTAAAAGTAACGAACAACTTATAGTTAGACACAAGTAGTATTTTCTTGAGCCTGAACTATTGAATATTGATATCTAACCATTCCTTCAATCACTCCAAAAACAACCAACCCACAAAGTTGTCAGCTCAAACCCCCTTCACCTTGACTCCACCCCTCCACGAAACAAAAAACAGAACTGAAAACCATTCCCCAAAAAACGAAACCGAGACACTTTTGAGATGGCTTTCGGCTTAAATCGCGGCAACTCTTCAATCGACCAATCAAACAATGGAACAAACTATACACGAAGCCCATTTAGATACATTCGTATCGCCAACTGGCGACTGGCAGAACACACGCCACATAGAAATAGACCAAGCCCATAAACGAGATCCTAACTAACTCGCAGATACGAAAACACACAGACCTCCGCCGATTGACACTTTGTCGCCGGCAAAGCTGATGGATGATTAATGAGCTGAAAATAAAAATCGAAAGAGGAAAAATAAAATGAAATAGAAGGCTCGTGTCGCGTCTTCGGCTAAATGATCATCGTGTGTCAATTTGGGCATCATTAGGAGTGCCACCTAACCCTTTTTTTTGTTTTTTGTTTCGGCTGCTGCCAAATCGATTAGCAGGCGGATCTAACTTTGATTTTTTCCTTTTATTTTTTTTCGAGCAAGTTGTAAGGTGTAAATAATTCAATCAATCATTTGTCAACAGCTTCGGCTTCCGTTTAGCGATATAGCCTCCGATTCAGGGTCAGCCGGTGGCTTTTGGCAGCCAGCAGCAGATTCAGTGATATGTAATTGGCATGTCAAAGAGTTTTGGCCCGCCCCCCTCGCCATCCATACCTCCCCTCTGTATAATCCACACATCCTGAAGCCTTTCAATAGATCTATTGAATTGTCAGTTCTGCATTGGGCGAGTGAATCAATCTGTCAGATGAAAGGGGGAACCAGCTGCTGAAAAAGAATTGCAGAACGGAGAGATCTGGTGAAAGGCGTGAAAGGATTGTGCAGGATTTTGGGGGAGATGCTGACAAGGGGGCTGGGCAATGGCAAAAAGATAAGGAATTGATGGGTGACAAGACAGTAGAGGGGTTTTTGAGGAGGGGCAATTTAATCTTTGCGTATTTGATTAATTACTTTGATTAAGGCTTTTTTATTGGCCTTTAGCCAATCTTTAGTTTTTCGGGCACTAAAAACTTATACCGCAATATTGTAATAATTTTAAAAAAGTGGTTTAAATTTTGTAAAAAACTTGAGAAGTACATTCTATTTTCCAGTTAGATTAAATTTATTAAATTATTATTATTATTAAATTATTTAAAAGGTATTATTTCCTTTTTTTTAAATATTATATATTTTTTCTTATATTTTTCTTCTCTGTTCAAGTAACTTAAAGTCCAGGTGCTTCCTTTATCTGGAAACTTAGTTCCCAGGATACCTCCCTACTTAGAGCAACCCACCGAGACATAAGTTTTCCCAGGCGTTCTCAGGCTCAAGGAACCTACACCTACCCTGCCAATCGCCCAGAACACCATATGTCAACCCACTCCCACCTCAACTCCTATGTGCCATCTCTACCCCCTAGGGACAGCTCCTACCCTCCCTCCTACTATCCCACGCTAGCCCACCCAAAAATTAAAAAAAAGAACTGAGGCCAAAGTTCAAGTGCAGCCCACAAGGAAAAACTCTTGACGTGGGAATCTTCGCTGCCCTCTGCGGCCATATTGCACACGCTGAAAATTAACTTTTGACCCAAACATCAATTACCACCACTGAGCGGAGCCTTTTGAGCGGTGGGAGGCGGTGGTGCTGTTTGGTAATCACCCCTCGCCCAGAGGGGGTGGGCCGCCTTGAGAGGCAACACCTGTTTTGAGGCCAAAGGCAGCGAAACCCGGCAAGGTGCCATATCCATATGACTTTTCAAACGAAATCAGTCCAACGGAACTGCAGGGTGGCAGAGGTTGAGGGGTTGACTGCTGACCCTTCGGATGTGCTTGCATGCATAATCTCTGGTCATCGCCATCATCCCTTAGCAGCTATGTTGGTGTCACCTGGTGGTTGTCCACTGCCCACCACCCCTGCTAACTAGTACCAATACCAGCAACGGTAGCCTACCCTCTCCCTCAGCCACCCCCTCGAGCACCTCAGCTTTCTCCTCAACCTCTCTGCTCATATTCAACACTCATTTCCCCTAGGAATTGTTTAAAGGTGCACTGAGAAGAATTGTAGAGAAATATTAGGTAGTGTTTCTTATTATGGCAACTAACCTGTTCTTTATTTCAAGATTACAAAAATGTTTCTACTATAAATGTAAAGGGATTTCTTTATAGCCAAATGCTAACTATTAGTTCTTCTGTCTTTTAAATCATTATTATTAATTTTTTACTTCAAGAGTTTACTATCAATTTTAAAGAAAATATTTTTTAGCATTTAAAATTTTCGGAGATATTAAAAAATATTACAACTAAAGTCATGCTGTAGGTTTTTCTCTCCCTGTAGCTGTGCACTTGGCACTCGTCCGGAGTTGGCCAAGTTAAGAGCGGGGTGAGGACTGGCTGCAGAGGGGGTGGGGTGGGTAGGGGTGTCTTGCCTTTACCTTACTCTCATTTGGGACAATTATCTATTCAACGTCAAGCTATGCGAGTGCCATATATGAGTGCACACGATTTCGTCTCTGCTACCAATTTTGTGTTAAGTGTTTGCGTGTTTACTCCTGGTGAGTGTGAGTGTGTGTGTGTTGGTCATATGTCAATGCGTCCTGGCCAGAAAAAAAGGACCTGCCGCAGATTGTTAGCGGGCAAACAAAACATTAGCTCGTCGGCATTATGCTCCGCGAACGACACACTTGTTCATCAAACGCGAAGCCGAACGGTTGTGTGTCAAGTGACCAGTGGCCCAAGTGATAACTTAGGATCGAAGTGATATATATAACATATAAAGTTTATTTTGAGGACTACCTGCTTCTTTGTGAGTGCTTGTGAACAGCTATAATACTAAATAATAAAGAAGATCCCAGAGGATCTGAATTTAATATACTTTTTTTGTGATTTTTATACGATCGATTTTTGATGGAAATAAAGAACATAAATCTTTCAAGATTGTGTATATTTTACCATTAAATCATTTTACCATTTTATAAATCAGTAATAATAATTTGCAATAAGAATTTAAAGCTGTCTTGTTTTAACCTAATCGAATGTTCTCCCTTTTTATTCCAGGCTCCTTGTACAGCGGTGACGAATTCTCCAAAGATAAGAAGAACTCCTCGCTAATCAGCCAAGGAGATATCGATTTCACAGACGACGAAAACGGTTTCGATATACGCTGTGAGGTCTGTGATAAAGTCTATCCGGATTTAGAACTGTGAGTACAACTGGCCAGGTTAATTGCCATTAATCAGGCCCCCGGGGTCCCGATTTTCGCGTAGGAGAATGTCTGCATCCTAAATTGCTTTGGCATTTAGGCAGCATCGACACTAATCTAAATCAAATTTTGTGTGTTGCTTCAGTAGACAAAAAAAAACAACAAGCCCCCAATTAGCTTCCAACTTACCCAAAAGAATTATGGGTGCGCAGCGAATAAAATCTCTGGGTAGAAGTTGAAAGAGAAATCCGACCGAGATACAAAGTATCCGCAAATGTTGCTAAATGCCTCGGATCTAAGTGGATATGCGGTCTAGTGCCGAACTCCGGCGGAGATCTTAATTAAAAGTTGATGGCGATAATAGTGCGGCCAATAAAAGTGCCATTAAACATCCAAGAGAAGCTCGGCCGAAAGTGAGAGTGAGTTTCGAGCTCCGAGCTGCGGGCTGCGAGCTCTGAAATGAATTGAAATGGTCTTGGTCTTGATTTGACTGGCTTTCGGTTCGCTTTTGGCCTGGGCTCACTGAAGTTTACTGTACACTTCGGCTTGGATCGGTTTGGCCCGTTCCATGATTGGTTTTTTATGGGCCCAAATGTGCAATCTGTAGGTGTTAACTGAGCCTTAATGCCTCCTGCATTGGTTCGGCATTTCGATTTCAGTTGTCTTTATTTAGATTTTTCCTTCAAAGTTTGTTTTGGCTTTACGACCAGCAGTTGCAGTAGTCACTGGGATAATAAAACAGGGGAAATCTTCGCTTAGGTACACATAATCACAGATTTTTATTACCAATTATTAAGAAGTATGTAAACGAGAAATAACTACGTCAGTTATTCTAAAGTTAAATCCCTCCATTTACTTTTCCAAGTTAGCCGTTGGCTTTTTCCCACATATCTGATCATCAATCTGGCCATTTAGTTTTCCCTCTTCAGAGGTAAACATGACCATCATCCGCCCACTCAAGTGGTTAATGCAAAAGTTTTGTCCCAATATTTACAAATGTTTTGCGTTGTAATAAATAAATGACCCACAAGCAACTGGAGCCAACACGCAAATGACATTTCCATATCCCATACACACGATGGCTATAATCATAGATACCCATATATTTAAGTTGAAGTGCTAAAAGCGAGCTTTGATTTGATGTTTGGCCCGAGATGTGGAGCACTATATATGTTTACCGTTACTAGAGTGGGTGGTAAGGGGTCCTCCTACCACCCAACCCCCCTGGGGTGCACTTATCAGTGGCGGTGATTTATTGAATTTTACATGAGGAGCTCTCGCTGGAAGGGAAGCTATGTGAGCTATGTCTGCGTGTCCAGGCTGTCTCTCTATTTTCCTTTTTTTTTGCCATTTATCTGATGTTGAACATGCATGGACTGTAAGCCAAACAAACGCCCACACTTCAGGTGAAGGTAGCGAAAGGGGGTTGGGGATTTGGGGGGCTTGGAACTATCAACTCTTCCATGACGATGACAAAACAAAGAAAAATGAAAACGTTGCCGCCTCTTGTCGACATCGCTTTGCTATATATTTTTTTTGCCTGATTTTACTCCACCCACATACAAGGCGATAAGCATCGCACCACCACCACGCACCACTTTTGGCCACAGTTCTCCTCCATCAAGGACGCCTTTACTCATTGGCCGCAGCTGTTTTTTCTGTCCCTTTTTTGGGGAGAGCGAGATCCCTTATCAGCTGGCCGCGCATATTAAATATTGAACATCATTTGACTAATTGACGCCCGTCCGGGAAAAGGGGGAGGGATTTTCCAGGGGGCGTTATCCCAGGTGGTCGGCAAACAAAGGCGTGTGAACTGGCGCACATGACTTTGATTGAACCGCGGCGATTTGGCGGAGAGCCCCACGAAAATGTCACAATGCTAATTTCCTTTGCGATGACAGCCAGTCAGATAAGGGCGGCAAAGGAGCCAGTACTTCGGTGGCTTGGTACCCAGAATTTTCCTTGACTTATGTTTGCATTTTCGTTTTTTTCCCTTTCAGCTTGGACGATCATCTGGTGGGCGCTCATCATTACAAACAGGACGAATTCCCCTGCAAGCAGTGTACACTACGATTCTGCCATCGTCCTTTGCTGATTAAGCACGAAGCAATCTCCCACAACAACATACGGAAATATTCCTGCGAGAATTGCAGCAAGGTGAGCTCCATTAACAATTATACTCTTACTAAATATAAGTATCCGTTTATCATTTTGGGGGATAAAGTAAAGTCAGGTTTTTTTAATATAAATTATTTTTGAAACTTTATTAGCTTATGCCATCAGTTTAAGATATTAATTGTACTACTTAATAATAATAATATCTTAAAAGAGAAAACTGTGCTTACAAAATATAAACACTATCCTCCTGAGGCGCAAGAAAAAGTATCGTAAAACAGATCATAGATGTACTTCGATAGAGATAAAGAGAGAGCATCCAGGCTATAGCTTCTGTTGCCGGCAACCTTCGATCGGCCGAAAACTTACGCCGTCATTAATTATTGTATCAGCTCGTGGTGCTCTGGTGGCTTGGCAACATAAAAAGACTTTTGATTTCAAGCGGATCAATAGCCGCGGGCTGCTAACCTGGCTCTTAGGAGCGACTCCATCTGAGCCACCTTTGAGCACGCGCTGAGCGGCTTACTTGCAATAGCTGAAAAATCAGGGCGTGTACTCATCCAAAGGCAGAAACACTTAAGCGACCCGTAATGAAGAAACCCTGTCGCAGCCCCGTTCCCCCGCCTATTGTTGAGTTCATCTTCGCTGGCTGCATTTGAATGCCAAAGCGAAATCAAAAGGGCTTGGAGTGGAGGCAACACCATCCATCGAATCCAGCCATCCCATCCATCTATGGCCATCGAAAATCATCCATCCATCGAACGATTCGTTTCATGCGTCATTGTCATCGCACTGCGACTTCGACATCTTCCAAAGATGTTTTAATGGCATGTTGATTACGATCTTGTGGTCGCAGCCAGGCCTTTTCTCTTGGCTTTTCCCATTTCCATTTCCAAATCGAACGGTATTTCAATGTCTATCGAGCATTACAGTTGGTTTACTTAGCGCTCTGTAATTGTTTCGGTGGCATGTAAGTAGCACGCATTGTGGTTCCCCAGCTCTCAGTGCACATATCTCCGAAAAAAACCCATCCCTAAACGGGAGCCACTCGGCCCAAAACAAATGATGATCGATCTTTTGGGCCAGACTTTCGCTGGGGTCCGAGCTTTTTTCGAGGTTTTCCCTTCCTCTTTACGCCCTCTGAAAGGCCCAAAAAAGAGCGGGCTCTGCAGCTGTCAGCTTTGTTTGTTTTAAGCAGCCGGCTTAAAGCGTTTCCAAAGGGATTTGCCACGGATCTACAAGGCTTTGTTCGAGGGCTTAGCTTGGAATCCGTGATGAGGCAGTTGAGTGCACAATAGGGCTAAGAAGGGCGGATAACTGTTAGATCGTTGGGGGTAACTGACGAGGTTTCAAAGTGGCACAGGAATGTGTGGGGTTATCTCTTACACATATTTTATTTATAAAAAAATCATGAGCTCAAATTAGAGCTTTAAAATTATCGATATTTTCGATATTTTCACAATGTTGTTTCGATAATATAGATGCTTCGAAGAGAAAACCCATATTAAATATCGACAAATAGAAAATAAGCACTGGCTTTCTGAAATCTAAGCCTTCTTAGCTTATTTCTCTGTAACTTTAACCAGAAGTTTCAACTCCATTAGGCTACCAGAGTCTGATCTCATCTTCAGGCCATGGACCCACAGGCACTGATGCCTTGGCTGACCCCACGTACGCTCCTAGATCTTGGCTTACAGCTCCGCCCCCCCTATCTACCTCCTTGATAATACCCCCCAACCAAGGCACATTCCACAGAAAAACAGAGATCTCGTCGGAGACTCTGCACCACTTCTCCACTTCTTTGCTTCTGCACCACCGAATGCCAAAACACCTACACTCAACCCACCGAAGCAGCGACTGCTTTTCATCTTTTAGTGCAGAGAGAAAAAAATCTGTAGATGTTCAATTTTAATATCTTAAAAATGATTGTTAAATATTTTCCAAAATTCCATTTATAATTTTAGAAAAATAATTTTAAATCGTATATTTTTTACTCTTGAATTATTTTATTAAATCCAAAGTGAGTCCGTTTTTTCGCTGTTTCTATAGTCGTTGTTCCCAGTTGTTGTTATTGCTGTAACACCATGATCGTCGTTGTCGTTATATATTTTTTTGTAGTTGTTGTCGTTGTCTTTTGTGGCGTTTTTCGCCTTTTTGGAGAGTAGTTGAATCTAATCCATTTGATGTAGTTATAGCACGAGCTATTCTTGTATGTCGCCTCTCTCTCTGCCTTCTCTGAATCCCCCGTCCTATCCCCGCCATAGCTCCCCGATTTTCCACCTTTTGTGTGGCTCATAGAGATAGACAAAAAAGGCTGCCTCGATCATCGTTTGATATGAATTCGTAGCGCATTATGACAGCATGATTAGGCATAACAGTTTCGTAAAAAGGCGACGGGGGAGTCGAAACGGCTGACCGAAATCAAGTTTGAAGTGGGTACATAAAACTGGATGCCAGGCTGGATCCCCTGCCCCATCGAACTCCCCCGCCTTTATCCTCTTCCCAATCCCAGGCCCGATCTGTCATTGCCTTCGCCCCTCCGAAAAACGAAAAGTGCGAGCTTCAGCCGGAGTACTTTTGGTTTAGGGCTGGTTGCAGAATTTGTCACAGTATTTTTTCGAAAAAATGATTTTTTTTAATAATGACGATATACCGAAAAGATCGAAGTTTATTTTCTTAAAAAACTCAAAGTTGGTTTGAAAAAATCCCGAGCTTAGAGAACTTTATTTTTAATATTTTCTAAAATTTTTTAAATAAGATTGAAAGGGGGCAGAATGGTTACTTAAAAACTTTAATTAAATTGAACGTGTAATTTTTCTGTTTGTTGCCTTTTACCGGCTTTATTTAAAGCTTTCTTAATTTCAAGATCACTTTTTTAGATTTTGTTGTTCCCTATTCCCTTCACTTATTGAGGGCCAAGTCGCGGGTTCCTATTGTCCAGCCCTGATCTCCATTTGGGGACCTTCGAGGGGGTGATAGATGCTTCGAGCCAGGCAATGACAATTGTAGCAATTGATGTTAATAATTGACGAAGGTGTTTGGCTGCTGCCAGTGGGTGGAGATGATGTTGTTGCCATTCGCTGTTGTTGCCCTGGTTACCTTTGCGTAATCTCGGAGAGCTTCGGTTATTGTCTAGCCCAAAAGAGATCCGTTTAAGCGGCAAAAGCGGCAAAAGCAGCAACAGCAGCACCAGCAGATGATTGATTAATTTCAGTTTCGTTTCATTTGGATTTGGAACCAGATCACCCAACCAGTTCCCAATTTCGTACAGAGAAAGAAATGTATATAAAATGCATTCCAGAATTAAATCAAAAATATTATTTTATTTATTTTTAGTTTATAAAAACAAAAGAAAGATGCGCTTAGAAACCATTCGTCTTTAAGTAGTTAATAAAGTCCTCTTTGTGGGATTTATTTATTATACCTTTTTATATATCTATACATTTTTTTTCCTGTGTACGAACTTTTTTATTCCGACGCCGACAACCAATCGCAACTCACACCGTTTGCTCTGCTCTGTGATCTGTATTTTGCAGGTATTTTGTGACCCCTCGAATTTACAGCGGCATATTCGCGCCTACCACGTCGGAGCACGCTGTCATCCGTGTCCGGAGTGCGGGAAAACGTTCGGAACCTCGTCGGGCCTGAAGCAGCACCAGCACATCCACAGCTCCGTGAAGCCCTTCGCCTGCGAGGTGTGCTCCAAGGCGTATACGCAATTCTCGAACCTGTGCCGGCACAAGCGCATGCACGCCACCTGCCGGACGCAGATCAAGTGCGACAAGTGCAGCCAGAGCTTCAGCACCACCACCTCCGTGACCAAGCACAGGAAGTTCTGTGACTCGACGGGTCCCGTGTATCGCAACCAGCACGTGAATCGCCACCATCCGCACCCACATCACCCGCATCAGGCGCATCAGCAGCATTTGGCCGCCACTGCCACATCCACCTGTCCGGTGACACCCAGGGAATCCCCGGAATCCTCGTCCTCAGCCGCTGCCGCCGCCGCCGTTGCCGCCATGTCGACGCCCACACCGAATCCCTTCCTAATGCTGCGCGCCGGACCACCATTCTTTCCCGGATTTTCACCATACGGATTTCCCGCCTTTATGCCACAAAATGCTCTGCATCCTACGAACATTCCAATGTTTTTCCAGAAAAATCCCATGGACATGGCCTGTGCTGGACCCGAGATCACTTCCCCGATTTCGGCCTTTGATCAGAAATTACCGTTTGGCTTTCTGAAGGGCGAGGCCAGTAGTTCGCAGGCTTATGAAAAAGTGCAGGAAGAGGAGTTGGCTTTCCAGTCGCAGGAAAAACTGCAAGTTTCCGAAGGCGAAGATGAAGAGAGTCGCAACTCTCTGGACATGAAAATGAAATCGGAAGATGAGAAAAATGAGAAGAATTCTGAGGATCAGAGAGAGGTGAAGCGGGAACCCGAGAGGGTCAACAGTCCCGACCAGCAGCAGGTCGAAGATGATAGGGTAAGTTCGAAAATAAGTTTAGTGAAGTAAAACAGGGAAAAAATTTAATTGATATGTGCAGGTTAAATTAATATCTTTTAAAGAACAAGTTAATTATATTATTTTTATTAAGTTTTGGTATTTTAAAACAGTGTTTTTATAACTTTTATGAAATTATAAAATATAAAGTTGATTTGAAATAAGGTAAGAATTGCTTACTTTATATGGAATTTTTTTTAGTAATTTGTGGTTCATTTTTTTTATACCGCTTATTTTTTAATTGATAAATAAAATGAGGTTAATGCTTAATTCATATATTTTTCCTGGGATAATTTATTCCGTTTATTAAAAACAAGTCATACAAAATTCTACGATTATAATATAAGTGTTTCTTAATCTTATACTAATCCATACTTCATTTTCTTTCCTTCCTTAGAAATCCATTGACATCGTGAGCACTCCACCGCCAGCGGACACACCCTCTGGAGGAGACGGGCCGCTGGACCTTTCGATCTGTCGCAAGCGACCAGCATCATCATGCTTATACGCGCCCTTGGAAGATAACCTCCTGCTCAATCGGTTTATGCCGAGAATACACGAGTTCGAGGCCGAAAGGGAGCCGCCACTGAAAATGCGCAAGTCGCACAGTTCGGCGGAGTCGTCCATCTCGCAGAAATCGTTCAGGGGCAGCAGTCCCACGCCCACCGCCTCGCCGGGCCCCACCCCCTCACCGTCGCCGCCCACGAGTGCGGGCGGTGAGCTGAGCAGCACGTCCGAGGGCGCAGTGGTAGCAGCGACGTCGGCGGCTGCAGCAGCAGCGGCATCTGCAGCGGCGGGAGCAGTGGACCTGGCCGCCCTGGCCCACTTAACCCACGCCCAGAACCAGCCCCACATACATCCACTCTTTCTGGAGGAGATCTACCGCTCCGGGCTTCCTTTTTTATGCCAACCGGGCGGACGGCGCGGCATTGAGGCGCTGCTGGCGGGAGTCGCCAGTACAGCAGCAGCCCCAAAGCGGCCGCTTCCGCCCGTGAAATTCTCGACGGGACTCAAGACCAAGGATCGCTACTGCTGCAAGTTTTGCGGCAAGGTGTTCCCCCGATCGGCCAACCTGACACGGCATCTGAGGACCCACACGGGCGAGCAGCCCTATCCCTGCAAGTACTGCGATCGGGCCTTCAGCATTTCCTCGAACCTGCAGCGTCACGTGAGGAATATCCACAACAAGGAGCGTCCCTTTCGCTGCGAACTCTGCGACAGATCCTTCGGCCAGCAGACGAATCTCGACCGGCACGTGAAGAAGCACGAGTCGGAGGGCAACAACTTCCGGGATTCGCCCAGTTCCAATGGCATGGCCGAACGGGAGGAGTGCTTGGACGATATACGCAGATTCATGAATTTGCACACATACACACCTAATAGCCTGGCCGGCCATGAGGGCGACACCGAGGAGTATCCCAATAGCGACGATCAGTCCGTGAACCTTGAAAAGGACAGCAGCAACTTCAACAACAACAGCAGCAACATCAGCAACAACAACAGCAGCAACGCCGGCAACAACAGCTCCAAGGCCATTACAATAAGCTCTTAAAAAAATATCAGAATCAGAAACAGAATAAGAGTGCTTTCCTTGTTGTTAGACGAAAAACTTACTTTAACTCTTACTTAAGCGTGCCTCCGAGAGGGAAAACCTATCTATAAGTAGTTACCATTTCCACACAACTCGTACTAAGCAAAACACTAAACATTAGCTATGCAATCAATGGAAAAAGACGGTGAAGCATCAAAACTTAAACTACAAAACAAGTAAATACAATTAAAGGGAAAACTTTATAAACTATATACTATACATACTTAAACCCACTCTAAAACCACCTTAAAAGTGTAGCTAATTTAAACATCTGTACATAGACATACGCAAGTCTTAACTTAGTGAGTCGATTTCAACTACTTTGGAACTCTGTGGATTATATACATAAATATGGATATTTTGATTGTACGTGTATAGGCTTTGTATGTATACATCAATCTATATGTGTAAATCGATTTATAACGTATGTCGTAAGTCTAACATATTTATAGAGCTAATTATTGCAATTCTCAACAACAAAAACCAGAAAAACAAAATCAATTTTATAACATTTACTTAACGTTTAATTATATTATTATTATTATTATATATATGGAAAACCAGACAAGATCGTTATGAAAAATAAAAAAATTAATAAAAGAAACAATGGCATAAGACTTTCTGATTTTTATTGGAAAAAAGTGGAAGTTCGAATATATGAACCTAGAGACAAGGAAAATGTGTTCTGAAATTTCGAAATCTAGTTCATTCATCAGTCAAATTTTCCAGTGAGCCATCTAATTTTTTCTCCCATAATTCCAAAGTTGGGAGTAGTAAAAAACCGCACAAGCCAAATCTAACGTTGTGGGCATAATAAAGCCATTGAAAGAGGTTGGTTCATCTACACTCAATTACCGCATAAAAGAAGACTTTATACACCCATCAATCCTGGCCGCAGACCCAAAACATAATTGTGAACGCATTTGCCTATAAACCAACTCGCCCGATTATTAATCATTGACGCAGAGCAAATATAAAATAAAAAGAGATCGAGATCGAGAAAGAGACCAAAAGGAAACGAAACCCGAAACTTATAGCTTTTTAATACATCCGACCATCCATCTGGGCAACCAACCCCAAGTCATCTATCCATCCATCCATTTCGACTCCGATCTGAATGCAAAGGCGTGATCGGCAAAGCGAGTTAATTACCCTTCCGGTTTAGAGTGTGTTACGCCTTCGGCGAAATGCGGTTAAAACTATGCGATCTATCCATGAATACTTTTCATTTTTGTCTTTTATATTTTACCAATCCGTATTTCGTTCGTTTCTGCTTGGTCTTTTGTTTTTAACTGAATTTTAAATTGTATTAGCCGGGGCGCTCGCCATTGGCATCAATCATTTTTTGCCAAAGCCTTTTTGGCTTTTCTTGTATATTCCGTTTTTTTTTTAAATATTTTTTCAACCTGTGCATAAGCAACGATCGACCGTTACCCGAGTGGCATACAAAAGATCAGTCAAATAGCTGCGGTTCGGTCACTTTCGATTATGCGAAATACGCTTGGCAGTCAGTCGGTAGCGAAAATAATAATCTTCGGCCACAATTGGAGTCAGCCAGAGTTAACTCCCTCTGCCCGCCCCTCTCTTTTGGCCATGGAGCCGTTTGTTGGCCCTGACCACAGCCAACTTCCACAAATTGTGCCACAAATTTGAACGCAAAACTGGCCAAATTATGTTAAATTTGTGTGGAAAACAGTAGATAATTGGTAATTGGTTTCACATCCAGTGCCCCGCCCTGATCGCGACCAGAAAGAATATGGACGGGGCGCATTAGCCGGTTATTTGGTCACAGTCGGCGACCGAAAATTGATCTCTGGGCGTTAATTGAAGAAGGCATAGTTTGCAGTGGAGCAACTCGAATAGATGAACAAATTCTTGGGCAACATATACGCCAATTATTGAGGTAGAAATATGAGAGTGATCATTACTGGATTCCGAAGACTTTCAAGGAGACTTCGTCTAAGTGGTTATCTAAATTTGGCTTACTAAAAATTAGAACAAAAAAATCAAAACTTTATACACATGTTATAATAAGAGTCCGACAATCAAAGAATGTTCTCTGGTACAAAAAAAATTATCTACAAATTTCTTAGGATTTGATACTGAGCAAAAATAGTATTATATATTTATGTCAAAAACATATAAACCTCTTTATGGATTGTTTATCGTGATTCATTTAAAGTTTAAATGTTTAAATTTTAAACAGATGCACCAGCTAAAAGGCCAACTTAGTTGTGCTGCTCATAATATAAATTAATAACAATAGACCTAAAAAATGTATAGACTAAAAATATTTACACAGTTAATTCCTTTAAATTTTTCGATCACTGTACTAAAAACCAATTCAAGATATTAAAATTGCTTATCGGACCTACTTAAGAGTAACTGTTGGCAATTAAGTGACTTCTGTCTTGGATTTATTCTTTCAGATATTTTTCCACCTCCCAAAACCAGATCGCAACCGAAAGAAATCGCCGAGGTCAAGGAATGCCATCCAACCGCCCAACGGGCAAGTGGTTCTCTACTAGTTTCAACCTTTCTAACCGTTTATGGCTGCAGAAAATGTTTTTTAATATGAGAGGATCAAGTAGCTTTTTTGCAGAGATATTTTCCAACATTCTCCTCGGTTAGCTGTCCCAGCAATTTCCCCATCTCCTTCTCTTTCTGCCGAGCTGACCAACCTTATCCAGGTCACTCACACCTCGCTGATTACAGAGTCGCCAGCTCCCGATGCACATGGATCCACCCACCTCATCGGGCACATCCAGTACTCGGTATCCAGGGGATCCGAGGCAGCCGGTCCAAATGAGCCAACACATTATGATAACGAGCATGGATAAAGCTGCAGAGCAGCTGAAGCCTTGACTGCGGCCTGGATGGAAATGTGGAAATTCGAAGGAACGCGATCCATAACGCCCTGACTAAGCAACTGTTGATTATGTGCCAGTTGGGCAAATGGCCTTTGTTGCGCCCCAGTTACACGCCCCAAAACGGATCGAATCGGGTCTGTATCCTCCGCTCAAATGTGGTCGGCACTCGGAAAAAAATTCATTGAATTTCCAGAATTTAGCTATCAAAGGTATTTTAATAAAAATACCGGTAACCTTTTAAACATAAATATAATTAAAAATATATTTAAAATTACATTGGCTGGCTAGGATCCTATCTTACCTTAGGAAAAATAAATGTTTAGTAAAAATTCTATACAAGTGGGCTAAAAATCTTGTTGAATTCGTAGTAAAATATTCAAGTCAAATTGGATTCTAATCTAATTTAACTCAAAGCAAATATTTTTTAGAGTGGGTGGAAAAGCGCATCAGTGCGCACATTAGGAGGCACCGTTAAATGCGACTTTCGAAAGGCAGGAAAAATGCTTGCCTAAACGGATGCAAATGTAGACACAAGCCAAAAGGGGAAAGGGTTGGGAATGGAAATGATGCGGGCGGAGTAAGGGAGGTTCGGTCTGCAGTCTGCAGTCGGCCACGTTAATGGCACAATTATTGCCAACGAAATCGGGCAAACGGAAGACGTGCAAAGCGCAGAGCAGCAAACTGAATCTAGCCGAAGGACATCACGCGTATCCCATTGATCCATGAAGACCCACATTGCCGGGCACTCGGCCAGGGTACTCCGACTAACTGTAGTTCATAACTTGGCTGAGTGATTGGGCAGACTTTTGGCTTTCGAATGCACTTACTGCCAGTCGGCTCGCTTTGTGGCCTAATAGGTTTTGAAATTAAGATTTAATGCACAATTTTTATTCTTAATAAAAAAACATTTGGTAATGGACCTAGTTAAACAAATTTATATACTAAAAAATTGATTAATGGATGTCATAAAAAATACAAATTATAAATGCAATAGATACAAATACGTTTCATCATGGGGATAAAATGATGGATTATTTAAGCGAAAGGCATTAAAATACTATTATACTCGTACAAATTTTATAATGATATCTGAACATAAAATTCTTTGCGTACTTCAAAGTAATTTTAATGCGGGAATTAATTTAATATTATTTTCCAGTGTTGTACCTATTAATTAATTGGGAGTGCATTGAATTAAATCTAAAGGGTTCGATTAATTTTCTAAACTATTTTCAGTTTAGGATAATTTGTATGTAATATGCTACTATCGTATTAAAATCATGGTGACATCCTAAGAAGCTCTGAACTTCTACACCCAAAAAATTCAAATTTTTTGCCATTTAATTTATTCAACATAAAATTCCCCGGTGATCGATTGAAGAGTGCATTAAATCTTCGTCATAAGACGGCCGATCCTCCTTTCCTGGCGTTTTTGTGGCTGCAAATCTGCGACCAGGGGGCAATCAGTCAGCAGATGTTTTCATTTCCTACTCCGGCATCGGCAGCGGAAAAAAAGCGGCGAAAAGCAGCCGAAGGTACTCAAGGCGCAGATGTTTGGCACAGTTTCGTGTAGCAAATTGCGCACAGTGGGCCCAGCGAACGCCCGCCACCCCCCGGGCGGCCATCCCCATCCCCATCTCCACCCCCTTTTGGCCACGACTGCCACTGATGGAATCAAATATTGTGCAAACTACAAGAGGCATCCGAGGGGCATCGAACGTTCAACGGGATGTTGAATGTAAGTCAGACGAGTCAGCTCCGCTCCGCATTTGTATCTGTATCTAAAGACGGAGTCTGCACAGTTTTGCTAGCCTGGTAGTTTGATAGCTTCGAAGCTGAGCGGAGCTGAGGAGCTTGTGTCATGCGCCTGGCACACGGCCTGTAACTAAATCACACTAATCAAGCCCCAAGTGCTGCTTTTCGAGTGCACTCGAAACATTTTACTGCCCAAAAACGCGCCAAGTCCATAAACATTTTAAGGCGAAGAGACGAAAATGTCCTGAAGATGGGAAAGTTGTTGTTAACGATTATTCTTTTTAATGATTCATTTAATTAATGACTGTTTTTGATGTTTAAATAACAGAAACTTGCGGAATGCATGAAGATTCATAATAAAGCAATTCAACGAAATGAAATCGTTATTAATTAAAGCTTACACTTATAACCACTAAAAATAATATTTAATTTAATTTTATGGTAACAGGCTTGGGCTATTTATTTATTGATTTAAGTTCCTAATTTAACAATTATTTATTAACGTAAAAAGTTAATAACAAACCTACTCACCTAAGAACATCTTCAACAATAGTTAAGAAGTTATTACCTACTTGCAAAATTTAGGTTATATGCCACCATGAATTAAAGAATGCATTAAATGTAAAATATTTAAGATTATTTTTGACTGTAGCCCAGATCGTTTTGCCGCTCTGCTCGTGCCATTTTCGTTGCCTTCGTCGCCTCCGACGCACTCGCCGAGCATTGAAATTGGCAAATCAAAGCAATTGATACATTAAATTACAATGCCAACGATTTGTACACGACTCCACGCCTCGTCTTCAGCGTCACCTGGAGATCAGACTTCAGACTTCAGACATCCGACATCAGCCGCAGCCATCCACGCACGCTAC